TCGTAAGACCTAACATGTTTCTGTATAATATACGCGCGCGGGTTATTCATTGCTCTGATGATGGACGCAGCAGGCATCGCTGAAATGTCAGTAAACGTTTACCAGACTACACCGCGCAGCAACCCAGAAGACAGCCAACCACCTTCGTACTCGCTGCCGTGAGATCCTGAAATCTCACGAATAATAAGATGATTAATGAGTGACGAATTTGAAAGGATGCGGAGGGAAGCGCCCATGGAAGGAAGAGAAGAGGAGATACAACATAACCTACGTTCTCTTCTTTAAAGACGATTCATCAAGTTGTTAAGACTGCAGTAATTTCAAGGGTCTGTATTCCTAGTCGGAGTATGGTGCTTCTTAACACTGGTGTCACCGTGTGGACACGCGGCCTGTTCTCGGCACATCTGAGCTCCAAGGCCCAGTCGGCCAGCCCGTCCGTCCGGAACTGATATCCTTGTTTTCAATTGTTATGGGCGAACCCTCTTCTGTTTTCTTTCAGTTTACTGGTGTATCTCATTTGTATAATCACATCAAAGCGGATGCATGTAATCAGTGAAGAATTGACGGTCGGAACCCTTCCATTCATTCCATTCTGTCAACTCCGAGTTCACACAACTGCGTAATTTATGGTTTCTGGGAACCGGCTTCCATTATTTATAATGTACCTGCAGTTCAGCGTCGTGCTGATTTTCTTCCTTTTCTTCTCTTTTTCCAAATAGCAGACGCAACATGAATTTTATTTACATTTTGTCATGAAACTGGTGTCTTATTTTAAGTGAGTGTTTTTTGAAGATTTCTGTCGTCTGGGTTGTAACGACGCGAAGTCTGGTAGAAGTTTACCAACGTTTCGGAGGTCTTTGTTGCCTCCATCATCAGGGCAGTGGGAACCTCAAATCCGACTGCGTTAATGCGTGTCTTTGCCCCCCCCCCTCCTATAAGTATGAAGATTTCTGTCTCCTGTGTTGTTGCGCTGTGTAGTCTGGTTGATGTTAGCCAACGTTTCAGAGGTCATACTGCCTCCGTCATCAGGGCGATGAGTATGAAGATTTCTGTCTTCTGGGTTGTTGCGCCGTGTAGTCTCGTCGATGTTTACCAACGTTTCAGAGGTCATACTGCCTCCGTCATCAGGGCGATGAGTATTTTTTGTAAATAAGGAAACCGGATGACGTCTAGTTTGTAAGGCTCTGAGTTTTGAAGAAACTTTGTATTCTGAAGGGAATCTATATAAAAGATAAACTAAAAGCCTATTTTAGTGGTGGGGTGGAGAAAGGAAAAACAACTGTAGATTAATAATATATTTTATAACCTTGTAAGTGGATTTTTTTAATTTTCACTTATGCCCGATGTAAGAAATAAGAAACCTTTTGAGAATATTAATAGACTAGGTAATCGATCAGCTTTTATATTCATCCCTCACAGAACAATCAAATCGGCTAAAGTATCTTCTGCAGAACAGACCTACTTGTGGTCCCTAGAATGTAGAATCGAAGTCACTGCACATTGACACGGGATACCGTATTCATTCTACATCAGGGCGCTTCATATCACCTTAGATTTACATTAATCGTATTGGCCTAATCCGCGAATAATTTTGTTCCATGAGATGAATCTGCTTTTGTAAGAAGAATTCTGCACAGGCACTTGCATTTTTTAAAGGTGTTAACATATGTGAGCCTACGTTAGGTCCGAGGGACTTTTGTTCTGTTAACTTAAAGTTAAGATGTTACTTAATACTTGTGCCGATGCTTGAATAAGAATTGCGGAGGAATGCAATATGTGATTTGACAGCGGTTCTGTGATGCGTAAGATAACATTTTCTGTCTTCTGGTGTACCTCGGTGCCTGTAAACTTCTAAAACTATAACTTCTTAGCTTTATAAAAAAAATTAAGAAGTAAGCGGCTGTAGCATCACAATGCCCGAAGTTTGTATCTGTCTGTCTTACCTACCACAGGCTTGTGATGTAACAATGTTAGTAAGCATCGTGGAACGAGTGGAGCTAGAGCCAGCTTCCAGCAACGTGATGAAGCTTGTCAGTGCTAAACTGGTCCCAGTGACACCTGCACTTTAATTGTTGCTGTGCCAAAATGAATAAAACCCAGACTCTAGACGTATCTATGCATTGTACTTACAACTAATACAACCAGACAAAACACGAAGTCCCCAATTTCTGAACTCGACATGAAAAATGTATTCTATATCGAACTTGTGGATATAAAATTTATTTTATTTTATTTACTATTAACGGCGCAAGAAATTATATTATCAGCTCGAAACATTTTAATGCCTGGCGAGAGCGATGTTTTTCTTTATCGTACTTTCTTTGAATGTTATTTTTTTTTTCTATTTTTAATCTTATAACAAGTGAAATCCACCAAGAACAGGCATGTTTAGTTTTCGTAAATTTAAACATGTCTAATAGATCTAAGATGGAAAAGAAGGAGTAAATATTATGAAGTAGGCAACTGAAAGATTGATGGTTGTTTTCTGGCTTATTGCGCCGTATAGTCTGGTAGACGTTTACCGACGTTTTCGAGGTCCATGCTGTCTCCATCAGTGCTCTGATGATGTAGGCAGCAAGGACCCCTGAAACGTAGATAAACTTCTACTAGACTACACGGCGCAACAAGCCAGAAGACAGCCATCTTCGGGCGCACCACCGTGGAAACCTCAAATCCTACGAA